CACAGCTTCTTAATCATTTGGGCAAACATAATGCTTTATCTTGTTTTGTAGAGTTATTATTTGATTTACATTGATGAATATGATTTAATTATTTATTGTAATATTGTTGTTTTCATTTTCTTTTAGATCCTTATGAATTAAAATTGCCCATGATCGATGTTCCCTTTCATTGGTATCCTGATCAAAACAAAGCACCAAGTGCATTGAAAGATTTAGATGGAATTATAAAAGGAGCTGATGCGTATATAATGGTAGTTGGAGAGTACAATCAAACAATTCCTCCTGCCTTGACCAACCTCCTAGATTATTTTTCCCCGAATAGTTATGCGTACAGGCCAGCTGGCATCGTTTCCTACACACCAGGTATAATTTTTATAATTGCTTGCATTTTCTGCTATTAATAATATCAACCATATAGTTTATGTGTTTTACTTTGTTAGCTTTCGCACGCTAGAATCTTGAAAATTTAAAAATATGCCTTGCACAAACGAACACTTTTGTTTATATATTTATTGTATGATTTCGGGATCTTTTTGGAATAAAATTTTGTTAAGCAAAACTTAAAATCTTTATTCATTGCTCGTCAAACTTTCACCTCAACTGTACATTACTTTGATATTGCCTTCTCTGGTAAAGATTGATTTTTTAAAGAATGCTTCGTTAGTTGAAAGCATATTCTCGCTATCTTAGGTTTTTTAATTATGTTTTGAACTTGGATACCTCAACAAGTATTAGAGCCTCATAATTTCCTGCATCTTTATGGCTGGATTTAGCAAATATATCACAATTTTCAATACCAACCTGTTGGATTTGCGTTAATACTTAACCAATTATACTTCTTTTTCTCTATAGCATCATAATTACTTTATTTTTGGTTATGCAATGAGTCTATACTGCATGTTTTTGTCCGTTACATCTGTCTAGCAGTTCCTACTTGTCCTTAAATAGTATGTTTGTTAGTCTACTCCTTTAATCCTATTTTATGCCATTTCTAGATGACTTATATTTCTTTTTTTTCAAGTATACTTTTATATCATTTTTTTAAATTCCTTTAGGCTATCGTGGGGCCTGTATTTCTGCTGTTCATCTCCGGAGTATGCTTGCTGAGTTAGGCTGCATCTGTATCCCTGATATATTGAATATTCCCTACGTGACTAAACGCATTGACGAAGACGGAAATTTAGACATTACTTGCCCAGAAGGCAAAGATTTAGATGCGCACTTTGATTTGCTGCTAACTCAACTTATTTATGTATCTGAGGCTATGAAAAAACAAAAGGAAGTTTATATGGCTTCTGGAAAAGCGATGCCGAAGTTGCATCCATACCTTTAATGCCTTCTCCACAAGTGAATAATGATCTTAGTCTTTTGCAATTTATTATCCCTCTAATTTCTTTCGTATTACTTAATGCTATTCAGTTAATAAATATAATATATGACTTGAAAAAGACTTGTCAAATTCGTATCCTAAGTATTTTTGGAAACTTTAGTAGCCTATTATCTTTATTCTCTAGCAGCATCTGAATCTTTATATCCTACAATTAGTTATCCCGTGGTTGTAGTGTTCTGGCAATCCTAGTCCCTTGTTTCATCAAAATGAAAAAGAGTATGGACAGCGGGCGAGTGACTGTAGTGGCATGTCTCCTGTTGCCTTAATCACGAGGTTGCTTTGGCTGGCACATGTTTTGGAGTTCCTGGTGTTGATGATTCCATAATATGTACCTCATTGGGGAGCTACGATGAAGAGGATAGGTCTTGTCCTGATAAAGCCCTGTGAGCCATTGTATCTTTAAGCGACATGCAAAGAGCCTTATGATTAGCGTCGGGGGTCTATTTAGATTCGGTTCTGGGAAATATGGGAAGGTCTCTGATCGACGTTCATTTACTTACATGAACAACGTTGACACCCTTTGCAATTATTTGAATTGCCAGCTGATTTTATTCAAATTTGCACATCCTGGCCTCTCATTAAGCACTTTAATAG